TAGTGAGGAGCTGAGATGCAGTGGGGAGGTTTTAGTGAGGAGTTGAGATGTGGTGGGGGAGGTTTTAGTGAGGAGCTGAGATGTGGTGGGGAGGTTTTAGTGAGGAACTGAGAGAATGAAGGGAGGTTGTAGTGAAGAGCTGGATGAGGTAGGGAGGTTGTAGTGAGGAGCTGAGATGTGGTGGGGAGGTTTTAATGAGGAGCTGAGAAGATGAATGGAGGATGTAGTGAGGAGCTGAGATGAGATAGGGAGGTTGAAGTGAGGAGCTGAGAAGATGACGGGAGGTTGTAGTTAGGAGCTGGTAAGATGTGGGGAGTTTGTAACGAGGAGCTGAGAAGAGGAAGGGAGGTTATAGTTAGGAGCTGGTAAGACGTGAGGAGGTAGTAAAGAGAAGCTGAGAAGAGGAAGGGAGATTGTAGTGAGGAGCTGAGAAGATGAAGAGAGGTTGTAGTGAGGAGCTGGTAACAGGTGGGGGAGGTTGTAATGAGGAGCTGAGAAGAGGAAGGGAGGTTGTAGTGAGAAGCTGAGATGAGATAGGGAGGTTGAAGTGAGGAGCTGAGAAGATGACGGGAGGTTGTAGTTAGGAGCTTGTAAGACGTGGGGAGGTAGTAAAGAGAAGCTGAGAAGAGGAAGGGAGATTGTAGTGAGGTGAGGAGCTGAGATGATATAGGGAGGTTGTAGTGAGGAGCTGAGAAGATGAAGAGAGGTTGTGATGAGGAGCTGAGAAGAGGAAGGGAGGTTGTAGTGAGAAGCTGAGATGAGATAGGGAGGTTGAAGTGAGGAGCTGAGAAGATGACAGGAGGTTGTAGTTAGGAGCTGGTAAGAGGTGGGGAGGTAGTAACGAGAAGCTGAGAAGAGGAAGGGAGATTGTAGTGAGGTGAGGAGCTGATATGAGATAGGGAGGTTGTAGTGAGGAGCTGAGAAGATGAAGGGAGGTTGTAACGAGGAGCTGAAAAGAGCAGTGGGGGTTGTAGGAGATAGTAAAAAAAAATGGGAGATTGTAATGAGCTAGGAAGTATAGAAAGGGTTGGGTAATGACCTGCAAAGAGGAAGGGAGGTTGTAGTGAGGAGCTGGTAAGAGGAGGGGAAGCTGTAGTAACAAGCTGGTAGATGAGGGCAAGGTGTATTGAGGAGCTGGTAAGCAGAAGGAAGGATTGTAGAGTTGTTTTCGAAGTATAAAGAGGGTAATGATATGAGAAGAGAAAAGGTGGTTGTAGTGAGGAGCTGGGAAGAGAAGAGGAGACTATACTGAGGAACAGGTATGGCATCCTAGTTCCTCACTGTAGCCTCCTACAAAAGCATCTTACATTGAGGATCTAGTGAGGAAGGAGCAATATGTTCGTTTGAAGAGCTGCGAAGACAGAGGTTAGAGTGAGAAGCTTATGGCCAGCAAAGGAAAAAAAATATCAGTTTTTCCCTTCTACTATTCAAAAAGTCTTTACATGGTGAGAAAGTAAAGGCAATACTCAATGGCCATGTTCTTTATACTCATACCTAACCAATTCTAAAGTAAATTAATGATCTTAACCCTTTTGAATACAATTACACTTTTTTTGTTGTATTTATGTTTTCAAAATTATTACTTACCATCATGTTCTCCAACATAAAACACTTTTGAAAATGTGGATTTATTTCTGAAAAATATTTGTGCTATGTACTTTTCCGCATCTTCACTGGTTGCATTACTTATTGTGATAGAAGATACATTATGAATAGAAACTCTTGATTTGTATTGTTCGTTTAGAAATTGAGGATCGTCGGTCTTAAAAGTTCTCAAAAAAGTATTGTCTTTCTTTATCCATAACACCTTTTCCACCTCTTTGTCACCATAATATTCTGCAGTCAAAGTAATATTTCCTCCAATCTTAAATTGTATATTCGGTCTCTCTTTCCATTTGTTATCAAAGGACACACCTAATGAACAAAATAAATGTCTTATTAATAAAACAATATGTTGCTTTGTTTTCACATGCGAGTTGTTACAGTTGTGCTCAAAATGGTGCCACAAAAGAAAGCCCGGGGAGGCATGTCAAGGTGAGCTCCGGCATATTGTAACCGGGCTTTTTGTGGCATTGGCACAGTAAGGCTTCATGTACGTGATATAAAGAGACAAAAAGAGGGCGCACGGGCCTAGTGCATTACCTCAAAAGATGAGATTTATTGATAAAAAAACTATAATACTCACAAGAGAAATAAAATCAAATAGAAAGGATGTCAAAAGGAATGCAATGTGGTCCGAAAAAACCCCTGAAGGTGGTTTGGTGGGGGACTGTAGACCTCTGGATAGCTGGTGGTTGACGCGTTTCGAGGTTGTACCTGTCAGGGATCCGGGTATGACCAGAGATGTGTGGACTGACACAGGGAAACGCAGGCTCAAGTATGGTGTAAACAATATAATTTATTAAAGGCTATGCAAAAATATAAACGCACAATGTAAACAAAACCAAACCTCCAACTGTGTTACGATCCACCAGGTGGTGCCTCAGGCTGCCAAATGACAGACCTACCCAGAGCGTGGGGTCTAAGCCCGGGCTGTGCTTTCACCAGGACCCCTGATGGTGGGGATGGACTTGTAACAGACCCGGGCCAGGTCACGACCTCCGAGCAGGCCCACCAGTGGCAGAGGAAGCCTCCGGGGACGTATGCAGGTACCGGGGGAGCCAGATGTGAAGAGGATGGCGGCCCTAGCAGGGTGGTAACGGACCGTGGTTCCGTGGGTGTAAGCGGGGTACCGAATCGGCGGGCAAAGAGTAGTCAGGTCACACGCAGGATCAGCAGGGTAAGTCAGTCCGCAGAATCGTCAGACAAGCCGGGGGTCAGAATAGGAGAAGGCAGAGTAGTCAGGGCAATCCGGGTCAATCACAGGAGAAGGCAGCGTAGTCAGGGCACTCAGGGTCACTAGAACGGATACAGGAACTCAGGATCACAGATAGACCTTGCGGCAATCTGTGACAGTGCAGGGCATCTTTAAATAGTGCGCCCTGCACTGTCATTGGCCGGCCAGAACGCGCCCCCGGCTGTCATTGGACGCCTGAGGTGCGCCCGCGGCTCCTACTGCGCATGCGCGGCGTCCTGTCAGCCGCGGCTCGCCGGGACCTAGTGCCTGTGTCCCGGCATGATCTGCCGCCAGTGCGCATGCGCGGGGGGAGAAGCCGCGATCCCTGACCCTGGAGCCGCGATCCCTGACAAACTGATAACGGAATGTACAAGCACACAGACAAGAGTAGTCAGGGCTGGTGAGGTGGAGTGGTCAGGCAGGCCGGGTCAGGAACCATCAGGCAGACAAGGTACAAAGGAGCAGGCAGAGCGTAGTCAGACGGGCCGGGTCAGGAACAATCAGACAGACAAGGTACCAGAGGAGCAGGCAGGAGAGTGGTCAGGAATAGCCGGGGTCGGTGCAGGCAGAGTTCTGTCAATGTCAGGAGTCAGGCAGAGGGATCAGGAAGGCAGGCAGATGACAGGATCAGGTTCAGGCACAGGGGCTCATGGGGAACAATACACCAAGGCACTGATCACAGGCCTGGTCCTGCTTAAATACACCTCCTGCAATCAGCCTCAGGTGATGGCTTGACTGCAGGAGTGAGATTCTGGCTGCTTAGAGCACCCGCTGGCCAGCACTGGTACTGCAGCCCACAAGGCAGGTGAGTCCCACCACCAGTGGTGAGTCCATTCCTGACAGTACCTCTTCCTCAGTGCCATGTACGTGAGCCTACCCTGACCATCTGCCACGGGAAACCGCAAGTCACGGCAACCGCGGTACCGCGGTTCTGCCGTGTTTTGCATTTTCTCGCGGCCGGCGTTTAAAACGTTCCTATTCTGAACTTGACTCTTCTGCAGCTCCAAAACTCTGCTAAAAGCCTATGTGTACAAGGGCACCTAGGCTTTTATGGAGTTGAATTTAGCAGCTGCTCACGAGCCCTAAAGGCTTCTTTCTGGAAACTGGACCATGCAGCACATTTTTGTTCAAGTATCGTCCAGGGGAGGACTGACAACTCATGGGGCCCCTGGACAATAGGGGGTCATGGGGCCCCTGTGTCCTTGTTCAAACTCAAAAAAGCCTATGGAAAAGGTACCAGGGGCATCTCATGGGGCCCCCTACTGACCCCGAGCCCTCGGGCAGAGCCCCTACTGACCCCGAGTGCCCAAATGGTCAGTCCGCCCCTGCTTCTTAATAATGGTTGAACAGCACTGACTGGTGTATGTAAACAATACAGATCTCTCCCCTGTCAGCTCCTTCACACTGCTTCGTATGGCTCTGCATAGTAGAGCCATACAAAGCAGTGTGCTTACAGTGAAACATACACACAGCCTCCATAGTAAAACAGCACACAGTTAACCCTTTGATCGCCCCAGATGTTAACCCCTTCCTGCCCAGTGCCATTAGTACAGTGTCAGTGCTTTTTATTAGAACTTTTCACTGTACTGGTGTCACTGGGGATGTCAGTGACACCAAGACAGTTCCCCCCCCCCCCCCCGTGTCAGAATGCCCGCCGCAGTCCTGCTATAAGTCGCTGACCACTGCCATTACTAGTAAAAAAAAAGAAAATCCCAGTATATATACCGCCAATTGTAAACGCTTTAACTTTCATGTAAACCAATTAATTTACACGTATTGGGATTTTCTTTTAGCAAAGACATGGAGCAGAATACATTTTGGCCTAAATTTATGATGAAATTTTATTTTTAAATTTTTTTTCAGCAAAAAGTAAAAAATATTGTTTTTTTCTCAAAATTGCTTTGTCTTTTTTTTATAGCGCAAAAAATAAAAACACAGGTTATCAAATAGCTCCGAAAGAAAGCTCTATTTGTGGGGAAAAAAGGACGTAAATTTCATTTGGGTGCAGCATTGCACGACCCGCGCAATTATCAGTTAAAGTAACGCAGTGCCGTATCGCAAAAAAATGGCCTAGTCAGGAATGAATCCTTCATTGATTTCAAATGTTAATAAACCCCGGACCCTGCATTCACTATATCCGGTCTCCCCGGACCCTGCATTCACTATATCCGGTCTCCCTGGACCCCGCATTCACTATATCTGGTCTCCCCGGACCCTGCATTCACTATATCCGCTCTCCCCGGACCCACATTCACTATATCCGGTCTACCCAGACCCTGCATTCACTATATCCGCTGTCCCCGGACCCCGCATTCACTATATCTGCTCTCCCCGGACCCTGCATTCACTATATCCGGTCTCCCCGGACCCTGCGTTCACTATATCCGCTCTCCCCGGACCCTGCATTCACTATATCCGGTCTCCCCAGACCCCGCATTCACTATATCCGGTCTCCCCAGACCCCGCATTCACTATATCCTCTCTCCCTGGACCCCGCATTCACTATATCCACTGTCCCCGGACCCTGCGTTCACTATATCCGCTCTCCCCGGACCCTTCGTTCACTATATCCGCTCTCCCCGAACCCTGCGTTCACTATATCCGCTCTCCCCGGACCCTAAGTTCACTATATCCGGTCTACCCAGACCCTGCATTCACTATATCCGCTGTCCCCGGACCCCGCATTCACTATATCCGCTCTCCCAGGACCCCGCGTTCACTATATCCGCTCTCCCCGGACCCCACGTTCACTATATCCGCTCTCCCTGGACCCTGCGTTCACTATATCCGCTCTCCCCGGACCCTGCGTTCACTATATCCACTCTCCCCGGACCCTGCGTTCACTATATCCGCTCTCCCCGGACCCTGCGTTCACTATATCCGCTCTCCCCGGACCCTGCGTTCACTATATCCGCTCTCCCCGGGCTCCCTGAATTCACTATATCAGCTCTCTCTGGACCCTGCATTCACTATATCCGCTCTCCCCAGATCCTGCATTCACTATATCCGCTCTCCCTGGACCCTGCATTCACTATATCCGCTCTCCCTGTACCAGCTCTCTTGTGCTGATATTTTTTTTTTGAGTTGCCTAAAATTAGGCTGTATCTCCTGTACCAACATTGAACGCACTTATTCTTTGTTTCCCCCTCGGCTGACTTAACTGATGCCAACCCTCTACAGATAAATACTGAACCTGGCCATACACTAGTAAAATTTCCTTCAAAAATCTCCTTTTCAGAATTGTTCAATTTTCTAATCGTTGGTGGGGTCAAAACGACGCAGCAACATGAAAATTCGAAGGAGGTGGATGAAAAAAAGTTTCTCGAACAAACAAATTTCTAGCAGTTCGTTTCGGGTAAGTCCATTTATTCATTGGCGTGTTATGCCGGCCATACAGGGGTCGAAATTCGACAGATTTTTCGTCTAAGAATAATCAGGCGATTTTCGCTCTGTTAGTGGGGTCAATGGCACCTGCCGATTTTCATGGTTCCTCCCCTTTTCGGTGATTGGGCATGTTGGAAAATTTGCGAAAAATGACCGATTTTCAACTCAATGATGGTCAAGCCGTTTTTTCCGAAAAGAATATACGCATGAGCTGTGACCTGGAAGAAACAGAAGTTTCGCCTGTTATATGGGGGAACTTTATGACTCGGTCGGCCGATTTTCGAAATCATTGATGGCGCCATCGGTTTACCGAGTGAACAACGTTTTCGATTTTCGGACAAAAAAACATTCGGAATTCGAACCATGGATGGCCTGCATTGACGGTGGCTCTCAGTCAGCCCAGTGGACTGGGGGGGGGGCACCTAGTAGTGGTAGGCAGCTTCGGATTGAAGGCGGGCATTGAAGCAAAAGTTGCAGTGACGCTTTTTTATTTGATCTGTTATTGGACTATTTCATTGCCTTTTAAATGAAGTTCTTTATTTTTTACGTAAGGGTGTGAATTAACCACAAACGCCTATAAAAAACTCTAATGGTATTAATGCCACGCAAACACCTGGCAGGGCATTTGAGGAGCATCACCATGGACTCCTACATTGTAAGCTCCAAGGATCAGGCCCTCCTAACCCTCTTGTATTGAACTGTATTGTTGCTGTATTGTCTCCCGTTATATTGTACAGCGCTGAGCAAACTGTTGGCGCCATAAATCCTGTATAATAATAATAATGGACTTGAATGGAAGGCATTGAAAGGCTTCAATACCTCCTGACTCATCATGAGGCTTCAGTTTTGAAGGGATGCTAATGCTTCATGTATTGATAATGTGAACAGCACTGGGTGCTGCCCATAGTATCATTTTCAATAACGCCCCTCAAATGCCTGCTTTCAAAGCTAGTGTGAACTAGCCGTTATAGTCATATACCTGTTGGGAAGACTCCTCTGTAACTCCACCAGGGACATTCTTCCCACTGACCCCCAATGTAAGAGGCATTCTTCCCACTGACCCCCAATGTAAGAGGCATTCTTCCCACTGACCCCCAATGTAAGAGGCATTCTTCCCACTGACCACCAATGTAAGGGACATTCTTCCCACTGACCCCCAATGTAAGAGGCATTCTTCCCACTGACCACCATGTAAGAGGCATTCTTCCCACTGACCACCAATGTAAGGGACATTCTTCCCTGACCCCCAATGTAAGAGGCATGCTTCCCCTGATCACCATTGTATGGAGCATTCTTCCCACTGATCACCAATGTAAGCAACATTCTTCTCACTGACCACCAATGTAAGGGGCATTCTTCCCACTGATCACCAATGTAAGAGACATTCTTCCCACTGACCACCAATGTAAAGGAGCATTCTTCCCACTGACAACCAATGAAAGGGACATTCTTTCCATTAAACAACTATGTAAGAAGCATTCTTCCCACTGATCATTAATGTAAGGGACATTCTTCCCACTGACCCCCAATGTAAGGGACATTCTTCCCACTGACCACCAATGTAAGGGACATTCTTCCCACTGACCACCAATGTAAGGGACATTCTTCCCACTGACCCCCAATTTAAGGGGCATTCTTCCCACTGACCACCAATGTAAGGGACATTCTTCCCACTGACCACCAATGTAAGGAAAATTCTTCCCACTGACCACCAATTTAAAGCACATTCTTCCCACTGGCCACCAATGTAAGGAGCATTCTTCCAACTGACCACCAATGTAAGGGACATTCTTCCCACTGACCACCAATGTAAGGAGTATTCTTCCCAATGACCACCAATGTAAGGGACATTCTTCCCACTGACCACCAATGTAAGGGGCATTCTTCCCACTGACCACCAATGTAAGAGACATTCTCCCACTGACCACCAATAAAAGGGACATTTTTTCCATTAAACAACTATGTAAGAAGCATTCTTCCCACTGATCATTAATATAAGGGACATTCTTCCCACTGACCACCAATTTAAGCACATTCTTCCCAACAACCATCAATGTAAGGGACATTCTTCCCACTGACCACCAATGTAAGGGACATTCTTCCCACTGACCACCAATGTAAGGGACATTCTTCCCACTGACCACCAATGTAAGGGGCATTCTTCCCACTGACCACCAATGTAAGGGACATTCTCCCCACTGACCACCAATGTAAGGAGAATTCTTCCCACTGACCACCAATTTAAAGCACATTCTTCCCACTGGCCACCAATGTAAGGAGCATTCTTCCAACTGACCACCAATGTAAAGAGCATTCTTCCCAACTGACCACCAATGTAAAGAGCATTCTTCCCACTGACCACCAATGTAAAGAACATTCTTCCCACTGACCACCAATGTATAGCACATTATTCCCACTGGCCACCAATGTAAGAAACATTCTTCCCACTGGCCACCAATGTAAAGAGCATTCTTCCCATTGACCACCAATTTAAAGCACATTCTTCCCAACAACCATCAATGTAAGGAACATTCTTCCAACTGACCAGCAATGTAAAGAACATTCTTCCCACTGGCCACCATTGTAAGAAACATTCTTCCCACTGGCCACCAATGTAAAGAGCATTCTTCCCACTGACCACCAATGAAAGGGACAATGTTAAACAACCATGTAAGGAGCATTTTTCTCACTGACCACCAATGTAAAAAACATTCTAGCCAACTGCCACAGCCATGGACTGACACTCCATGTTACTGGTTGGAGGACAGGGCTGGAAGTCAAAGTACAGAAATGGGGCCATTGGAATATTGCAGAGCTATAAGAAGGCAGAAGAATACTCAAATATTGGCATAAAGCATAGTTACACTTTAAATATGGATGCACCTCTACAATAGGTATTGTAGTAAAGTGTGAACTTACCACATAGACATCCTAGAAAACATAGCAGGACAAAGCATACATTCCTCATATTAATCCTTTGGTACCCAGCTCTAAAACAGAAAATGTAAAAATATATTTATAAATTGTTATATTACATAGACAAAGTAAAACTACTGTGAAGTCTTTTTATCATTGTTTTCACCCAAGGTTCACTCAACTTTCAACAAGGGATGGGTGAATCTGCCAAGGTGTCAGAGCCTGGGTCCAAGCCTGGGCCTTCTGCGGTGGGAGGCAATGTTTCTTCTTGCTGAGCCACCTGGAATGCTGGACAGCTCCCTTGACAATTATTTGGATGATCCTACCTTGACCTTGTCTATCTTGAACCTTGAACCCCTTGCTCCTCCCATGAACTTCCTGATAAAAGCCATGTCTCTGCATTTCCGGTTTGCCAGGTTATTGTACCTTCTCCAGCCAATATCCCACTTGTCTAAGGTCAGTCACAAGCGGTAGTAGATGGGGATGAGGCAGAATCGTAATCAGGAACAAGCCAAAGGTCGGTCACAAACGGTAGTAGATGGGGATGAGGCAGAATCGTGGTCCAGGAACAAGCCAAAGGTCGGTAGCGAAGGTATAGACGGCAGCGGGAGAGACAAGCGGGATATTGGCTGGAGAAGGCACAATAATCTGGCAAACAGGAAATGCAAAGACATGGCTTTTATCAGGAAGTTCATGGGAGGAGCAAGGGGTTCAAGGTTCAAGATAGACAATGTCAAGGTAGGATCATCCAAATAATTGTCAACAGAGCTGTCCAGCATTCCAGGTGGCTCATCAAGAAGAAACATTGCCTATCACCACAGAAGGCCCAGGTTCAGACCCAGGCTCTGATGCCAGGTTTGGTTTGCTGAGAGTAGATTGAATCTTGTTTGACATTTGCAAAACCTTAACTTAGCAGTGAATCCCATTGAAGTCTATGGGGGTGGATCTTGATACTAAATGTTGGAAATGTTTTTTTTCACTTTATGATCATGGAAAAAAGAATTAAAGCCAAACTTAATACACAGTGTACAGCATGACACGAAGCTTGAATCGCCAGTTTTCTCCAGTTTTCCAAAGAACAAGAATAAGTAACATCACCCAATACAGGGCTCTCTCTCAATACCGATGACTTTTACAAAACATAATAATCGGTCATGTCAAGAAATATAGAAAACAAAAGAAGTCAACGGGTATATGTTTCAAAATGAGGGGAGGCGACATCATCAAATAGATCAGGGGTTGCCCGATTAATTGATGATAGAATGGTATCATGAGAAGACTAAGTACCCTGTCGCTAAATCTTGTACCTTTTTAAATCCAAGAATGACCCCAAAAATGAGGATCGTTTGCAACTTATCCTCTCAGTCTCTAAAAAATTAGAATGTACAATATTCACTGCATGAGAGGACGAAGAAAGAAATATCCAGGAGAGAACGAAACTGAAGATAATAAAAGAAGAAAAGAAGAGAGAGAAGAGAAGAGGGGGAGGTAGGGAGAGGGGACAGGGAGAAGTGGAGGAAAATCCCCGGTATACTCCCCCTTCCGGAGGCCTATCAAATGCTCACTAAACTTAAGATCCGCTGTCAGCTTCTCGTTATAAGTGTACCTTGTATCCTATTCCTAACCTTTTCAAAGCTAAGCAAGGCTCTTGCTATGGTTTGTTTAGTAGCCATAAGTATATGTGTGATTAATATACGATGCCGATGTGAAAAAATTGGGTGCTAGTTGGTGCAGGAGAGCTTCCCATGGATTTTTCTGCATATTTGGTCCACCTGGTTCACATGGCCTCATGTTACCTAGATCTGAACAACCCCGGAAGCAAGTAGACGATTAGGTTGGGAGGCATCGGCCAATTCTAGCTAGAGTGTAATACCACCGGGATACAACCTTATAGGGTTTCTCAATTGACAGAACATTACAGGAGGATTTGTGGAGCATCTCCCATATCTTGTCCCAATCCTCAGGGGGGCTTAGAAGTTGCGAGGTCTCATGCCCATCACAGGCCGTAGATCAGAGTCTAAGCATTAGTATTGCC